TAACCATTGCTATTATAAGTAACGCTCGATCACGACCCCCTTTTCATTCTGACTCCTCAATACGACCCCCCAGGCGTGGCGTGCCACATCCCACGCTTGACCCTGGCTGAAACCTTAACTCACTCAAACAAGTCATAGGCAAACGTTCTATGATAGGATTCGACCCGTGAAGTTGATCAAAGTGATTCCAAAAACTCCCCTTTGATTTTGCTCGTGGTCATACAACAGACAGATTCTGGAAAAGCAAGAAGAATTTTCAAACAGACTTGCAAATGTCTATCTGAAGAGCTACTCTGAAAAGGTATCACAGAAGCCTTTTTTTCTCTCCATGTAACACAACTGCAAAAATTTCATGGTTCATATGATGCTTTGTAAAACACACTATTTTTAGTTGTTTACTAAATTAAATGAAGGGAAAAGAAGTAGGGGAGCTGTCAAACAGATCTATTACAAAGGGCTGGTACTTCGTCCTGATCAATGGGCTTCGGGGTAATTTCAATGTAGATTTTTCTGCATTTTTCACATTCTAATCAAACTTTCAATACCTTATTTTCAGCCTCTGGCCAGGAGGTAAAGTCCCATACGAGATATCACCGGGTTATACCTCTCAAGAACTAAGTGACATCCAGTATGCGATGGATGCATTTCACAAGCACACATGCATAAAATTTCAGCCGCGAGCTCCATCTGATATGTATTATTTGTCAATCTATAAAAACTACAGCGAAGGGCAAGTTACAACCCAAAATTTACATTATCGATAATTGCTTGTTTCAGGTGTTATGGCGACGTCGGCCGGCAAACATCGGCTTATTTTCGTACACCCGAAGGCAAGTTCAGAACGCGGATGAACATGCATTCTAGTTGCCTGAATCGACCTAATTGGATTCATGAATTAATGCACACTATCGGCTTTCACCACGAACATCAGAGGTTCATAGCAAACCTTTGCATGTAATACGTCAGATCATCAAACTCAAGGAAACTCTTGCAGAGAGGATCGCGATCCACGTGTAACCGCAGGCCCACGAAGCCCAGATGCGAGATACGATTACTGGAATCGTGTCGTTTACCCGAGAACTTATGCGCACTACATGGGTAATTACGATCCGGAGTCGATTATGCACTACCCAGCACCTGGTTTCAAACCCTACCAAAGGAAATACTTTTCTCAATCGGACATCGATAACATCAAAAAATTGTATAGGTGCTAACAGGCGAAATGCAAGTTAAAAGTTTGTCGGAACAACGAGTCTTATATGTACAATGTACAGTGTAACACTCCTCTATGAAGTTGAAACAAAAGGGACAGCGGTGTTTCTTGTTCTACGCAACCTTTAAAATTGGTATTCCTTTTTTATGCAACAATGAATGAGATCGAAATCAAAATCGAGATTGACATGTTCAAAATGTTGATCCACCTTGTAAAACATCTGACAGTACAGCAATCTTCCACTATCTTCTTCTTATAGACGCAGCTAATTTCTGAAGAAAGGGGACAGCTGGAACCACATCAAGAGACAACTTGCCAATTTCTCACAATGAGAATTCCCATCTAATCACGTGCTGAAGTTCGTTGAACAGTAGTTCTCTAAAATGCCCTTCAAAATAAACCTGCGAACGTTCACATTTATAAAGTCAAGGTTTTGCAGTTTAACGTTACAGAAACGAAACAACTAATTGACTAACGCCATGCAAATTTCTTCTCGAGCTACGGCCTTGGAAGTCCAAACTCTGCTTGTTTCTTTAACTAGAATTCAAAAAAAGACCATCTCCCTCTGAAGTAAATTTGCAAGGCCCTTGTTCTCATCGTGGGGACGATGGAAGGTCAAAAAAGAGCCATACCTCGAATTTTTTGCTTGATATACAGTGCTGGTCAAAATTATAGGTCCACCCGGAAAACTGCCCTAACTTGCTTGGTTTTCAGCGAATTCATCTGAAATTTGCCGCGGCTGTGTATTCAACAACATACTGTCAGTAACTAAAACCGGTCCCACTTTCGTTGGATTATTCAGGAAGAAATTAAAATTTTTGAAAATAGCAGGTTTGAAAGATGGCCAAAACTATAGGTCCACCTGAAGTTTCTTCCCACCAAAAATTCGTGACTTCCAAAATTTTCTGTGCATGTACATAGTCAA